CAAAGCCAACATTAAGTTCCTGACATGGTGGTATCTTGTTCCTGCCAAATTGGCGAATATTTATCCGGGATCCTCCCCGCAGTGTTTTAGAGGACGTGACAGTGTGGGCTCGATGTACCACATATGGTGGCTATGTCGTAAAGCATTGGTGCCCACAATTGTTTGTGTTAAGATCTACTTTTTATATTGGAACTGTTAATCTGCGCTTGTGGATGAGATGTTAATAATATGGGAAATAAAGCTGCCACAATAACAGACTGAAAAGCCTTAGAAAATTTATATGAAGATTTTGCGGCGCTGAATCCCATTATGTGCTATAACATTTGTTGTGTCATAAAACAATACCTCTTATATTTGTGACCAAAAAGTGTAGTTATTCAGAAAAATGTGAAATGTATACAACCAAAGTGAGACCCTATAATCAAACACAATCAAAAAACAATGAAAATATTAAGTGTCAATACTAATAATAATTGGGCCAACAAAAATCAATTAACCAGCAAATTTAGAGGGTATGTCCTGCAGCCACAAGGTGATTGCAGTGCTGCGACCCCCGTCTGAAAACACAGCAAACTCCAGAAAATACAACCAGTGAACTATAATGAATATCCAAAAACAAAGTTCAAACTCATATGGTGATGAGTGCAATGTGTAACAAAAAATCTTCAAGGGTGAATAATCGTCTTCCGATTCCTTATATAGCCGGATTTTTATATTACCAGCTCAATGAGATCTACCAACAAATGCACCACAATGCACCTCCCAAAACAGAACACAGGGTAGGTGTGATTGCGATGAACACACTGTACTATTGTGAATGGGCCCTAAGTAAGACCTATCACTCTTATCAGAGGAGGGGTAAACTATGGGACTATTACCTATAATGGCCAAACTCCTAAAAAAAATCCCCTAAAGCTCCTAATCTCAGTCTGTAGGTCGGGGCACAGTCCTGTAGGTGAGGGCACAGTCCTGTAGGTGTGGGCAAAGTCCTGTAGGTGAGGGTACAGTCCTGCGGGTGAGGGCATGGTGTATAGGTGTGGCACTGGTTTGTAGGTGGGAGCACTGGTCTGTTGGTGGGGGCACAGTCCTGTAGGTGAGGGCACAGTCCTGTAGGTGAGGGCACAGTTTTGTAGGTGAGGGCACAGTACTGTAGATGGGGGCATGATCTGTAGGTGTGGGCATGGTGTGTAGGTGAGGGCATGGTGTGTAGGTGAGGGCACCGTCCTGTAGGTGAGGGAACTAGTCTGTAGGTGGGAGCACTGGTCTGTAGGTGAGGGACCCGTCCTTTAGGTGAGGGCACTAGTCTGTAGGTGGGAGCACTGGTCTGTAAGTGAGGGCACAGTTTTGTAGGTGGGGGCACAGTCCTGTAGGTGAGGGCATGGTGTATAGGTGGGCATGGTCTATAGGTGAGGTCATGGTCTGTAGGTGGGGCACAGTCCTGTAGGTGAGGGCATGGTGTGAAGAGCCTGCAGCATCCAATCTAACTAATGCCCACTATAATATAGATTCTGCAGACAAATGCAATACACAAGCAGCTGCCTATGGAGATGTGAGTCTTGTACGGCTGTGTACAGTGGGTAGAGATAACCCAGGCTGCAAGACACAATGTCCCTTCCCTCTGATAAAGAACACCAGTCACCCGGCCCAAGCATGTGTAGCATTTGTGTGTCCCAATGGACTGGCTCTCACATTCCTCCCAGTACCTGCATGCTGAGCTCAGTGCGCCGCGGCTTCCAGTGTCAGCGGCTGTGCAGGGACAGAGCGCCACCTGCTGACCAACACAGCAAACTGCACCCGGCCAGCAGCAGCTGAGCTCCCAGATAAATGGAGCAGCTAATTCCAACTTGCGATTGCAATCTACCAGAATTAGCTTTCGATCGACTGGTAGATCACGATTGACCTTTTGGGCACCCCTATCCTAAAGTGTGTACATTTTGGAACAAAGTATATATATATTAGTCCATAAAATTACCAAGGCACGAGTCCCACATGAACCATGTTTTGCATTATTTAATAAGTACATCCCTACAGTCTCTAAAACAGGGGTAGCAAAACTCCGGCCCTCCAGCTGTGGTGTCCAAACTGCGACGCAAAATCAATATATTTATCTCAAAGTGCCAACTCTGAAAATACCTTTAGTATTGCGTTGCAGTTCGGGCGCTCGGGTTTAAAGGAGAACTATGAGATGAGTAGTTATAGTCTCTGAAAGCAGGGGTCCTGTAGAGTAAAAAGATGCTAGTTGCAATTTTTTATGTCGCACGGTATTTGCGCAAATGTTTATCAAACCAGTATTTTTAGGATAAAATACACTAAAATTAAATTTAGTGCACAGAATCAGAATATAATGGCTAATTTTTTGGTACAATATAAAAGACGGGGTCATGCCGGGCAAATAGATACCAAACATGTCACGCATCCATGAAACCGCCACAAACAACAATAACCAAAATTTTCCATAAGCGACGCTTTAAATGCTTTTACGGCTCATCAGTTTAGCGCTATCAGTGATTGATAGGCCGAGAATTATTGCTCTCACTCCGACGCTCGCGACGATACATAACATGTGTGGCTTAATTTTTGTTTTTGCATGTAGGCGCATCCGACGCGTGTTTGCGTTGTATGTGCGTGCACATGGGGAAAGGGGAAACTTATAAAAAATATTTTTTTGCATTTTACATTTTTTTTAATGTTACTTTAAATTTTACATTTTATTTTACACTCAGCTTTATTGCTATCACATAGCGGGCTAAAAAGCCCCTTATGTAATAGCACATATGTGACAGGTCCTCTTCATGGAGACGTCAGGGGTTTTTCATACCCCTAATGTCACCTAGGGACCCCAAAGAAGCTGATGAAGCAGAGATCTGCTTCACCAGCTTCTTCTTCTGGCTCTAAGGGGTTGTCCACACCACTTGCAGTGCGTCCCAGGCCGATTTCAGCCGGAACGCACTGCATCACATTGCGGCCGGCTCAATTTTTGCCGGGTAGGAGGGGGAGTGGCGGGCCAT